TTACACGAGCGGCAAATGAAGTTATGCGAAGCGTAATGCACGCGCACATGAAGCGTCATCGGGATCTAGCCGACAGTACGTAAACGTCGCCCGTTACAAGCAACGATTTTATCTTTATCGTCAAGTAGCATCGTTGTCCAGGTCGTTTTGTCTTTCGCGAAATTCGCCGCGTTTACGAGACGGTCCCAAGGGTGGTTAAACTCGCGTTTGTCCGCTTTCTACGTTCCACCCACTCGCGGCTGGGACGCGACATCCGTGAAATCCTCGCGGCAGCTGGCTCGCTCTCTTCGAGGTCGAACCTCGTCGCTGGAAATTGTTAAGTCGCGAGTCCAACGGCTGCGATCGCACACCCACGCGCGAGCAACGTGGCGACACGACGCTGCTGAAGCCAAGACCACCGTTTCCGAGTTGGATAACACCCCGATTGCAATTTTGTACCGACGCATTTGGGCTTATAAGTATCAAAAATACCGGGATTATCGAGGCTATGCGCTGTGCAATATATTCGTGTATTTGTTTCGGATGTAGCTTCTGGAATGTTAAATAATCTTCGAAAGGTTCTATTTATTTCGAAGCTATGACTGCGAGGAGTTGAGTGGTACCAATTTTATTTGCGTATACGAAGTTTAAGAAGGTGTACAAATAAAGATGAGGAGTAAAACTGAGATCGAAGATTCGTCTCGATTTCATAACAACTAAAAATCCCCGCGTAGCTAAAGTTACAATGCATTTCCATCCGATAACGACGCACCCAGCGGAACGCCGAGCAGCGTTTCATAAAACCCTCGCTTATCTCGAAACGTTCGGCGATAAATGTACTTTTATATCTCCCCAATTTGTTTCCGTTATCTTCGATTCGCGTTGCTTTTAATCAGACTTTATTACGTAGATTTTTACGGCACGGTTTACGTCCACTTAAGACGGGAACAACGTCGACCGGATCGTCTCGAAGGGGCGTGGAACCATTTCGCTCGGATTCACGACGTTTGTCGTTCGCGTATCGAACGAATCCACGGCCCGACGACATTATCGGCGTCCTTGTTATCGTTATCGGGACCGTCGATCTTCATTAACGTTCACAATATCGCGGAATGTGGCGAACGACGCTGCTAAACCGGATTCCCAGTGGCGTGTTATCCTATAACCGAAGGAGACGCCTTCCTAAGGCCTCGATCGAACGGGATGCCAGTGGCGCCACTAGTTCAGGTGCTCGCCGTCCTCTGAAACAGACGCGGAGTCCCACAACATTAGAAGAGCAAGTTTGCTTATATGTAAAACTCTGAATTGAGATCTTTAAAGCGTCGGATGCAACACTTACATAGGTACTGATCAGATTCGTGAATGCTCAGCAATTGCAGATTGTGTGATGCAACTTAATCGGGTGCATCTTTGAGTCTTTGATGCGTGTATTGATCTCGGTTTCTCCAATATATATTTATTAGTTCCAATTTCAATGTTTGGAGATGTCCCTTTTAAAAAGGGGAAATTTTCAATTATTGCTTGGCAGAGTCAAACTAGGAAACCGCAGGACCTTTGTGTTTCTCTATTTCCTTCTATCTCCCTCCGAGCAACTTCGACGTGGTGATCCCCGGTAATCGGTATTACTCGCGACGAAAGATTGTTCGAACGATCCTTATTATAATATTCGTACGATTTCCCAAATTAATTTAACCTTGATTTCCACGAAGACGTAGTGCTTCAGTGTGGTACTTGACGTCACCTCGCGAAGTCCGCGCGGATGTTTCCCATCAAACAAACGCGGCCTGACGTTCGCATATTGGCCATCACGGTAGCCAGATTGCGTAGAGAAGCGAGGATCGTGAATCGATGGCATAGGTGCAAAAGCGCGAGAGAATGGAGAAGAGGAGGATACATGGAAGCGCCAAGGGTGGCGGTTCCGTAAAAGTAAGGGATCCCCGCCATAGCTGAGTGCAAACACATGCTGCCGCTGATAACGAGCCGTCTGCCACCCATCGCGTAAGCGGCTTCGGCCAATCTGATAATCCGTGAGACGCATAATGATTTATTATTACTCTCGAGCTGCGACGAGAACCGCGGAGATATCATCTACGCGAACTACCGATCCTCCGAGTTTTGAAAGTAATTTGGCGGAGATAAACAGGCTTTGCTTGACGGAGAGTTAAGAAATTGCTTGGATAGATCAGCCATAAGTTCTGTCGGTAACTTAATCGTATACAGCGCGAACAGAACAACTGATGGAGTATTCAATTTGATACGTTCGAAAAGTGAACGTTAAACGCTGCTAAACCACGCTTCATTTAATTGTAGAAAATAGAAAATAGGTCTTTAAGGACTCTTTTATACCATCAGCCTTTCTTCCTTTCGGGTGACCTCTAATTACGAAACTAAGAGTGAGCTACTCAACTTAAAAGCCTTCTTTTTACCATTTCTCTTTTAGAATATAAAATACTATAGAATGACTCCTGCTAATAGATGATTCTAACTTTATTCTCAATTCATCACCATTTCATCTTGGTAAAACAATCAACGTCCCATGTATCCTCACACCTCAAATTACAACACTTTCGCTAGCAGATACCATCGGGCCCATATACAGAGTACAATCTGCATAGGTCACGCTTCTATCAAGGGTGGTCTTCGTCACCCCTGACCCGAAGGCGGTGCACCAGTCGCTAATAGATTAATTAACTCGAAACGATCTCGTTGCTCGAATTGATATCGCGATATCGAACGATCCGAGTCGACCGGGCGAATGATAGATGGTCGCCATAACGGGTGCACCTAATAAATATTTAGCATCTCATACATATTCGAGAGTTTGGTGTGGATAACGGCGAACGAGCGGCAGCTATTTGTTCGAGGGGACAAACTATGCGCATCACGCTCGCTCGTTGAACAGCAGTTTCTTGTTGAACATTATTTTCTCGCTTGGAGCGATTCGAGAGATCGACGACGAATAGCTTTAGCGAAGACGAACAACCTGGGCGTGGTCTGCGAAGTGGCGAATATAAGGCCACTGCGATCTACGCTAGGCTCGCTTAGGGGAATTGGAGGGAGACTGGCTTTTGCCCCTGTACGCGATCCACGATTAAATGCCTCATCTTGGGGACTACCTGCAAACGAAATTAAGTTTCTGATAATGAGACTAAGGGGGAGAAACCACTTCTCGGTAATATTAATGTTAAGTGGATCGATTTTATAGATAGATAAGAAGTTGAACTCGCTTCTCGTTGGACTGCTGGATGGCTTAAACCTAACTCAATTTTTTTTTTATTTCATTATTTGAGCACAGAGAAGTAAAAGTGTAAATTAAAAGGGTATATCCATCGATTCGATATGTATAGAAGGACGGTTGACGAAAATGATTTAAGATACCTCTGATTCAAAAATATAACAACGAGCATAAGCTGCGTGAATACGAAATACGAAATATATGAATACGAAATCCTGCAGATTAAAAGTTAGTTAGGTTTGTTCCGAGCCATCAACGTTTATTGAAAGCTATTCAGAAAGGAAATAAGTCGTTAGCGATTTCATCACCTTCGAGAACTTCAGAACGCCGCGCAGGGGAAATCATAATCTTCGATACTTTTTATAACGTTTATTTTTAATATAGATTATGGATAATAAGAATAACGTATTACTATTCTTAGAGATGATATTTTTTTGTCGCTAATCGTGCACCGAAACAATTGTTTACCGATATAGTTATAAACAGAGTCTCAGGTCGAGTGTAGTATTACCGAGATTTAATCTATATACAAATACTGTGAGTTAAATATCTACAAAATCGCATGCTCCCACATTTGTTCGAAGTCGACAGTCGTACGCAGCACTCGACTAATAAACAAATGTTCCTCGACGGAGCGAACAGCTCTCTAAATAATTTATTCGCGACGTAAAAAACGTTCCGTGGTTCGCGTGGAAAAGAATAAAATTCGTCGCAATGGCTAATCGCCCGTCGCCATTGAGCATTTTCGTAATCTCAGACACCAAACAATCTCAACTTAATTGTCCTACTATGTACATACACGTACGTTAATTCGCTCCCTCCACATCGGTTCACCATACACACTCCTCGTTATTTATAATTACGTAGTCTAGCAAAATTGTGTCGGTAGAAAAGTTCTTGAGCTGTTGTTTCAACGAGTTGCGGGATTTAATGCGGAAGAATGGACGGAAAATCGTTATCGGCGTTAAGAAGAAGGAAGTAGAAGGTGTCATTCATCCGAATGGTTCACTTGGTTAACCGGACTTTGTTCGAGTAAAGGTGACAGTGTGGCTATTTACCGAAGAAAAGAATTTTTTGGGCTTGTTTAGCTTTTCATTCGCGGCACGTAAATATCGTCTCGAGACCACTTACACGCAATTTCACGTGAAGTGTCTCAAAGTATGGCAAATATGACAAACGTTGCGCGTGCACGCATGCGCTCGTTATTTTTTTATGTAGACGGAGTTTGTCATTCGTGGAGTTTGAGAACGAAATGCTCCGTATTGTATGGAATAAATATGGTTAACGCTGACAGGTAAGAAGATCGTCTACTGGATCGCAAGACCTGCGAAATCGACGAGTCGCGTATCATCTATTTACACAAAAATAATTAAGTTCGCCAAACAACGCCAAGTCTAAGAACATTAGCCTAAGTGTCATAAATTCGCTACTGAACCGACGCGTCCTCTCGCTACCGCGTTATTGCACATACGACGATGAAGTGTTGCCCCGAGATTCCAACGAAGGAACCTGGAAACTGCGTCCGTTCACTGATATTGCACACAAAAATCGAGTCACAGAATCGCTAACAAACACGATTCATCCTGGTGACTTCGTTCTTTCGAACTTCCGGTGCTGCTTTGTCGAAGTCTCCACGCAGCGAAATCTCCACGCTTTGATGTCTCCACGCATCGAAGTCTCCACGAAACGAAATCTTCGCGCTTTGATATCTCCACTCGTTGAAGTCTCCACGCATCGAAGTCTCCACGCATTAAAATCTCGCCGTATTCACGCCCTATTCAAAACCTCATGCACGATCGATCGACGATCGAAATCCCACGTTATCCTTTCTGCTGTCACCTCGTGAAGTCACCGCGATGACGGACGGAGTCGAATGGTCAGGCAAGTAATCCGAGTCGTCGAGTTACGAATAACTCGAACGTGATAGAAAATAGTCCACGACGTTACTCGCCAGTGACTCGGGTCAGACGTACACCTCTCCCCTTTTACTGCCTGCTCCAGGTCCGTTGGCAGGTTTGATGGTGGTCGCCGTGGCGGGCGACGCTCCGAGTCCACCTGCAAGAGAGGCGTTGGTGCAGGACACGCTGCTGATCTTCCTCGAGGTGTCCTGGGTACAGTGAGTGGCTCTACAGAGATCGTGGCCGATGCTGCTTGTCCTGGGGCGCGTGTCATGCATGCAGTGCACCAGGAGCCTGTCGATGGTCGGAGGATCGGGGCCATGGGAGACGGAAGCTGCGCGAGTCTCTCTAGGCTGAAGACCTGGCGAGTGAGGCAAAGACATGCTCCTGTCCTCTCTAGGCAGCAGCAGAGGAGGACCAGGCAAGGAAGCTGATCGCCTGCCTCGTGGATCTGTCGAAACTTTGCCATTTTGATTGGTAGCCGGTACCGCGGCGACTACGTAGCCTAACTTATCTGGGCTCATCAAAATAGGCGAGCGGTCGTTGTAGCTGTCGAAGGTTGACGAGCTGCCGTTGCTACCCAAACGACTGTTCGTCTCTCCGATCAACGGCGTGCTCCTGTCGGGGCTGATCAATGGCGTGGATCGTTCTTCTTGTCCAGCGATACTGCCGCTCCTGCTACTGCCGCTGCCGGAACCTTCCTCCTCGCTGCTGTTCACCTCTGTTAAAGTCGCTTGGATGCTGGTGGGTTGGTTGTTAGGCTTCAGCATCGACGCGGAGGTCGTCGTTACTAAGCCTAATTGCGTTAATTGACTCATCGTGACCGGTGTCAAGGTGACCGGAGCCACCAAGCCAGCGCTGGTTAGAGTCGGAGAGAGTACAGCCTGCGCTAAGGCGGCTGCCCCGGACTTCCCTGACACGGGAGTACCCTCAGCTTCTTGAATAGGCGACAGCACCACCTGCACCACCGACAGGTCCGTTGGATAATGGCCGTTCGCCGGTATCACTCCCACGACGCCGGCGCCGATGTTCGCAGCATTCGTCGCCGACAGAGCTAATCTCTGCTCACGGTCGCCACTTTCTTTCGTCACGTCCGGTGTTGGTATGCGGGGTCTGTTCTTCAGGGAGACGGGCACCGAGTTAGGCTTCGTCATCGTGCCTGCGAAGGTAGAAGAATTAAATTAGTGACCGTCACGGTTAATACTTTTTCTAATGGGTGACTATTCGTAGACGTTTTTTTTTTTATTGAAGATTTGATTTTTCATCGAAGTATTTGAAGCCTGTTAACCTTCTGCACTCTAGAAGCGACTCTTAGTCATTGGATTTTATGCAGCGATTTAAACGAAGAGTAAGATACTATGGGCTAGCCATTCGAGGAAGCCTCGTTCTATCGAAAGTATGATAATGAAGATATGGGATGATTAGACAAATTAAATGGAGAGGATTGCATGCATGGTTCACCTGTTAATGAGGTAGTTTGACTAGGACATTTATCTTCTCCAGATTTATTACAGCATTGTCTGCGTAGGAAAGAAATCTCAAATACCGTCTACTTTTCGTGTCAGACGCGAGGAAACTCCAGTTGGATGATCAAATAATTCTCCGCGACGAGGAAAATCGCCTGGTTCATTTCTTTCGCCCGTTATTTTTACCGCTAGAAAACGATCTTCGATTGGAACGAGGAAACGATTCCACCGTTTCGTCCTGCGGGACAGTGCGAATGAAACGTGGACGCGTCGACGACGATAATTGCTCGCCACTTTTCTCGCCGCTGATTTTTTTCTATCGTGAGGCAAGAGGAACGGGCGAAGAAAGAAGCACAAGGCCTTAGGAATGCTTTTTTTTTCGAGAACTGCGATTCGCGATTGCGGAAATCGGTTAGGTTGCCCAAGGTCGCTGATTGCGTAATTCCTCTTCTTATAGAGAAGAGGAAAAGCATCGAGAAACGTTCGCAAGACTTTCATTGAAAGTTTTTCTTGCGTCGCGACGGAATGCGAGAAGATCGCTTCGAGCTGAGAAATGCAAGCAAAGAATCGCTGTCGTTGTTCAGTAAACGCGTTTTTATGGTATCGCTTTTTTTTTAGAGATCGCTTCATGATTGACTGACTGCGCAAAAAAAATGAACGCATTTCGATTTAAGTTTCTAATTAACGCCGCTAATTTATGCAAGATGGTAGGCACTCTCGAGCCATGAGAGGCGTTACGTAAGATTGCTTCATTATCGTTTGAGTGGCTTGGAAATTAACGTCATTACGGAAGGTGTACTGGCGTGTTAATACGGCTGGCCATTAAGACTTCACACGTCCGCACTGTGATCCTTTTTCGATCCTTGCGCCAATAACCGAAATCTTCACGATACGTCGATACTTTCTATTTACTTTATTTAGTCTTTATTGTGCAAAGCTTGCTGGATCCTAAGTAAGAAATATTGTCCGCGACAAGCAAGAGGAGCTGAGGCGCTTTTCTGAACACAGTGTGCACTTTCTCCAGATTTATTTTAAGAAATGAAACTAGGATGTAGCATCGACGATAGAAACAACGGTTAAAATTTTAACCAACGTAAAGAAATAAGATTTACAATTGAGCCGTTCATTGCACAAATCGATTAGCTCCATAAAGCAAAAAGTTGAGAAATACGACGAAATAATGTACTTTATAATTCCCTAAAAACTCCCTTTATAATATAAATCCACGTAAATATTGTAGAATGCATAAGTACAGATGTAGCTTTTATCTAATGGTATTTGAAAGTAAGAAGAAAAAATAGCCAAAAAATAGTCGTGAGTAATGTTACAATTTTGTGTGTAAGGATTAATCTGCCTCGAGTTTACCCGTTGTTTCAGTGTCATGTCTCAATTTTTAATGTAGTTGGAAATGTAGTTTTCGATCAGCTCCAAATCTACCGATCTCGCACGAGATACTTGCCTTGTCGACCCATTCGTTGACTTCGAATGCTCTTCCGACCCACTAGTCGGTCGTAAAGCGACATTTTCCAATTCGGATTATTCGTCTGTGGCAATCCCCCGGTTTCAGGACTGCTGTAGACGCTGTTGTGACGATTTCGAGAGAAGAAACCACCGCCGCTGCTGTACGTGGTCGAAGAACTGCGCACAGAGCCCATTCGCGTGATCTGTCGCTGAAGCCAATTTTTCCTCCGCTCCACTAACGGAGTATCGACGCTCTCCTATAAAATATACGAATATAATATAATATACGAATATGAATAATAAAATGTTCATGCTTAAAAACAATCAACGACGCGTTTTAAATAGTACTATCTATAATAGTTGATTTTAGGTATTTTATATATATTATTGTGCTCTCGTGACTCATTTATTCGAACCTATTTTCCTTCATAGGCATCAACAATTTGCTGCGAATAGTATTTTACTATTTTCTAACGATACATTTACCTACAGTCAGTGTAATAAGTATTCGTACAGGAACCAATTCAAAATAAAACTTTATATATTTAATACATTTTTGGGGAAGAAATAATTAACCAACGTTCCTACATATGTTTTAAGTAAATTTGCGTAAATTAAAGTTTATTATGTTCAATGTTAACCTCTTATTTCTGTACGAATACTTCTTACACTGGCCGTATTCTTACGAGAATTTCTTTATACAAATATTACAGTTAGAGCAATTTGTCGTGGAATGTTTATTGCGAATCGTTGAGGACAAAATGCACGTTCGTTTGAAATATCGATGGATTCGAGTTCGTTTCGTGACGAGCACTTACGTAATCGGCATACATGTCATCCTGGTGGGGCTTGCGATGCTGAACGTGGTTGTGGATCTGCGTACCCAGCATCACGTTTGCATAAAGAGCGTCACTCTCTTTGACCTTATAGTGTTCCGCGGAGCCCTTCGGCTCTTCTCGTCGATATTGCTCGCTGGCCACCGTGTACGGTAAATCTTTGGGCACGACTTCGTCCCAGTATTGGTCTTTCAGCAATTCTGGGTGCTCCTCGTGCATTTCGTCGACGATCATGTACCCTGCCTGTTGGCAATGATAAATTATACTCGTGCTTCACATGACGCTCCCAATCGTAATTTGTAATACGTCGGTAAACGTTTGCGATGAAACTTTTCACTATAAGTGATTCAATAAATGTCGATTAAAATTCACTGTTACTACTACAGAGTTGCAAAAAATTTGAAGCCTGCATAAAATATTTTGTTTACTAATAGAAAAAGGTTCGGAAGAGTAAAAAGAAATTAATACGTCAGAGTGTTATGGAATAAATTTAAAGCGTTCATTTTTCAGAAAAATCGTCGTGCTCGTATACGCGCAACGTCGTCAAGGAGAGTCCAAGGACACCAAGTATTTTTTTTTTTTCTAATGAAATCATATATTTTTCATCGCGCATGGAAACATTTCCATTGTGCGTTCGAAAGAGTACTTCCTCTGTGGCCTGGCTAGACACGTTGGAGCACTCAAGGCCGTTATTCTCTACTCGAGAAAAATCGGAAAGTGAGAGTGAACGGAATTCATTTGAAGCGTTTCATTGCTCCATTAGTTCAAAGAGCGCGATACAGCTACGGATGCAACGCAAGCGTGCCATAAAAACGTACGTTAAACGCACTCTAATATTAAGAAAATGCAAATGACCCCAGCAATTATATTTAACGAGTAACAATTTTAATAATCCGAAGGACCGAATAATGAATAAACATTTGCCTCGACCGGTAGAAATTCTTTGAAAAGGAAATCCAAGAATCGCGTGTTAGTTACAGAATAGTCATAAATAGCGTTTTGATTCTGCCATTCTTGAAATTAATTTCGAAAACGACGTCACACGCGTGATGACATAAGGTGACGTCCAAGAATCGAGGAATTTGTCATTGTATCGTAGAGATGTTAATATCGTTGAAAGTGTTGTGCATGAATTAAAAGTCGGTATACCTTGATGTGTCGATCTATAAGCCAGTTCAACTCGATGTCGTCGTCGTCCTCTCCAAATGGATTGATCAACACTTCGGCGACTTTCAACCATCCCACGTAGAAACAAAACTGAAACGAGATCATTCGATTGATCGATACTCTAGATATTATGCGACGGAGGTGGCACAATCGTGCAATTTCCTCACCTGCAGGGCCGTGAAAAATGGAAAATACATGTCGGGTTCCTCGTATTTCCCGCTTCCCTTGTCGATACGCTCGATAAATTGTCTGCCGAGCAGGGCGGAGAAGAAGTACGCGTACAGCGATAGTGTGACTACCTGGAAAACGTAAATAAAAATAAACTTGAGCTGAGTAAACCCAACATTCGTTCAAATTTCATCGTTTTTCATTAATTATTATGATAGCTAGATTTTTTTATTAGCTCTCTTCAGAATAATATTGCCTTCGAATTGAAAAAGAGTAAAATTTTAAAATAAATTTGTCATAAGTAGGAGTAATAACTATGCAAATAAACATGGAACGGGATCAAATAAACGCCTGAGCCTTGCATTCAATGAAATTATTATGTAACAAGCATCACTCGATCGTAAATGTAGAACACTTATATAACTACGGACAGACCACTTGTCATGTGTTTACTTTAAAATTATAGTTATAGTTATAGAAAACACATCAGGATTCCAATATTCTAAATAAACGATATTCGAGTTTGTTTATAAACTGCTTCGCATACATCGCAGCGGAAAAATGTGATCGTTGACTTTCCCGTGACAAAATTCAATGCGCAATCGCACTCAACCGAATAAATCGTTAATTTCACGAAGCGCGATGAAAAACCAAGCACAGCCATCACGTTCTTCGATCAAACGACTTCCAGGAAAGCACAACGGGGGAAGCGAATGAATTAGCTAACAGAGGTTTATAGACGACCGTACACATTCTTGGATTGCATCGTTTTATTCGTTTCTCGGAATGATTGTCATAGGTATGCTTTCTGCGCGTGACATAAGTGTCATCAACGGTGATCGCTATAAATACCTCTTTCTCGATGCTGCTTTCTCCATCCTTTTCTCAGGGTTATACTTTAACGTGATTCACGCTCTGGGCGAGGTATAGATCAGAATGAGCGTGAAATAAAATTATAGAACACGGAGAAATAGTAAACGGGCTGATCGAAGGATTCGAAGGTAGTGATGCACATGAGACGAGATAAATCTCGATCTCGTTTCGATTTCGAGATGTGATTCGAGATCGAGATTACTTGTAACCTTCGAGATTAATATCGGGATTCAGCATATCGAGATTTTTCGAGATCAAAATCGAGATCGTAGAAATCTCGTCTCGTCTCGTGTGCATCACTATTCGAAGGTATCTTGACGATAGTTAGCCTTGTAATAAATTAAACAAAATAGAACTCTGATTTTTTTTTTCGACGTTTCATGTCGTGGTAAAGGCATTTTTCTATAAGAACTTTACTATGGAGAAACTCAATGAATTGCGGTAGAACGAATGAAAATGAAAGAGACATGGATCGACACTTTGATGAAGGTAGCTGGTTTTCTTCTCGAAGGGTGTGAACTTTCGAACGAGGTCAGTATCTCGGTAGGAATCCTTTTAACAGTCTCGTCCCTTTTTCACGGTACGTGTTGCGAACGAACAGGTTTGTATGAAATAATATCAAGGTCGCCAGGAGCACCGCCTTTCTCGTCGAAGGCCACCAGGAAACGATAGTTTATGCAAAAGCCGATTACGAGTAATGCAAGAAATAATCGATCAGTTTACCTTTCGACTACGACGATCGTGCCTGCTGGTATTCGCGACACGAACCTCGAGCTGCGAAATTATGTTCGCGACATTGAAGAGGCGCGAAGAAAGCCACTGGTCAACTCATTCGCTGGCCATGACCATGCGATGTGCATTACCCTCGAGGTTTATGCGCTATCAAGGATCGTTTTTTTTTTTATTTACGATTCGAAAGTTGCCCGAACGTGTGCAATTAACCCTGTGATTTTTAGCGGTTATCGGAGCTCCGATTTTTAGAGAAGTGCTGCCGCTGGTCGAAACTCTGCAAAAGTATTGCTAGCATTTTTAGGGCTGAAAACCTGAAATTTCGACATTTTGAACGTTGGACTGGTAATGCAGGTGGTTTTGGTCGAATAAAACGTGATATTCATGCACGCGGCCCTCTCGTGAGTTCAATGCGTGCCCTAGCTCAAAGTGTTAAACACCCAGGATAATCGTAAATAAGATAATCCTTATAAAGAGCAAAAAGCTGAGGAATTCTCCTTTTACTTCAATTACTGACCCATGTTTCTAACCTTTTTAATTCGTTTTAGTGCAATTCATTGTGTTTCCGTATAGTAAAGTTCTTACACTAATTCTGAGACACCCTGTAGAAGAACGCCTTTACCCCGAGCTAAAACGTCAAAAGAGAAAAGTTAAAATTTTTTTTTGCTCAATTTACCATAAAGCTATTATCAATCATTCCAAAAAGCAACTCATCACCACTGATCTTCAATATTTCCAAAAGTTGAACGAAATCAAAAGAGACACGATGAATTGCTGAAGAGCGAGTTCTTTAAGCCAATGCTCACTCTTATACGGACAACTTGTAAACAAGCATGTTTCTTACAACGCTCGAAATATTCCTCAAAGAATCTCAACCAAAAGTTCAATTCCGTGCTCGTGCAACGAAAGTAAAAGGTCCCTGACGGAACAATGAGAATCCAGCACGACGGGTGCGCTGGTAATTAAAGCGCATTGTCGCATCCCAAGTGAATCGCCCCCTCTGACGAAATTCATGAAACGACGCTAAGCAGCGGCACTTGCTATGCAAGATTAACCGTGGGACACGAAAAACATACGGGGCGAAACGTTCCGTGAACGTATCATTACACGGCACGCATAACCGCGGCCGTTTACGCGTAACCTTGCAATTTCGCACTGTCTTTTTGCCGGGGATGCTCGGCGTTACGATTTACACACTGAAAGAACGTTGCCGGGACTCGTCCTGGCAACGTTTCATTACGAAAACACGACGAAGTGAATAATTGCACGTCGGTTAGGTCACTCCTCTTGAATACCGTCCACGTATTTTCTTAATTATCGGGAATTAACATAATTTCGCTCCTTTCGTTTGTTAATTCAACGAAACTATTTGGCGAAACGTCGCCAAATGCCTGGAGACGAGAATTCGTCACTTTAGGGGTGACGCCACCATCTTCAGAAAAATTTGTTTGATATGAAGTCATAGGTTGCTCGGTTGGAAATTACGTAGGGCAAGTTCCATTGGAATGGTGAATGTATGGTGATTAAAGTGGCTAGGAGTTTCTGACGTACTTTCTTGATATGATCTTCGTTCTCTTCGTAGATATATAATATCGAATTCGAATTAATATTCATTGTAGTCCGAGCAAGAATAATTGCGAACATTTTCAACCGCAAGCATTGGGACTCTTCTTTAAATCACTAGCGTTTGAACTATTAATAATAAATGTTACAACGAGTATAAAAAAATGAATGACTAAAATTCCAGCATTCTAGCATCGCAAAGAATTCAAGAGTAGAATAAACGTGTTCTCTCAAAATAGAATTCGTTCCATTTTTGAAAGGTGAATTCGAGGCATTTCTGCGTCGATCGATAAGCAAATGCGAAATACGATACACCGTTGGAATTCTTCTATTACAGCTTTAATTTATGTGCAGAGCAAGAGCACCGGGAATAAAAATGAGCGGCTGACTAACGACTCGATTCGCCCAGATGTCTGCGATCGATCTAAATATACCGGTAATGCGATTCCCGATATTTGCCTCCGAGGAAAAAGCCGTTCGATCGTCTCACCTCCAGGCGATCGATGCCTTTGAATTCGCGGACGATCATCATTCGTAACCGATGACGCGATTGTTCGATGAATGAGTGTTTTCTCGATGTTTAATCGCAATTTCAGCCGTGATTGACTTGTCACTCGACGGTCCGAGTCGGTCAGTAAATACTGGCGAGTTTTTAACCTTTTTAGGAACTTGGAAATTTTCGTTCTTTTTATTACTGACAGTAATTATAAATATACAAAACTAAACATCCATATATGTTGGTAAAGGCGTGAAAATATTAAGATGTCTCTGTATAGCATGGGAGTATGGAAAATGATATTTAATTACCTTAAATTAAGCAATTTGATCTTTCATTTTTGGTAATAAAAGTTCAGTAATTTACAATCGTTTCATTTCGTCCATTTTGAAGGTCGAAATTAATTTTCTATAAAAAATGCTTCAAACCAATACTTTGAACAGTCTTAGTTTCATAAAATCCCTAAAATATTCCAGACCTAACTCAGACGTAACCAAGCCTAGAAAACCCACTCGAGAACCAGCTGTTTTTTAACCAACGCTTTTCACGGTGAACGCATGAAATAGTAATCGAGGCCTTCGAGGTAACGTAAATTTCTTAACGACGAATTAAGACCAGGATACGGATTCGATAAGGAAAGGTCGTAAAAAGGCCGCCACGACAACGGACACGTACACCGCCGTGGATTACGAAGCACCGAGCTGTTCAACTTTGCGAAAATGATAGCGTTTGCACCCGGTAATTAGGGACGTTAGCTGATGAGCAATTAGCGTTGCACAATGCATACGTGTCGGTTAATTGCGAGTACGAAACATCTTTCCAAGAACGGATCCGTTTTACTGTTGCGCCGCGATGAATCGAGTCCTTCGAACTGGGTAATGCACGCTGGCAAGATCCTGGCTCGCACAAAGCGTCTGATACGTGATTAAATTGACGATTTCTTGGCTCAACAGCCACCACAATTACGCATAGCGCCTTTTATCTGCGGCACAGTGTTGCAACGGGGTGACGCACTTTCTAACGATCGGTAAGTACTTCGAAGCTCGTTAACTTCTTGCGGTTGAAACAGATTCAACCGAGCAAATAGAAACGCGATGTTTGAACGTCTCGAACGCGTTACTTTCTTAAATAAACCACGATCACAAATGTTGTTACGAATTTTGAGAAAAATTAACTTCTAGAGTTATAATACTTGCACGTACTTTGGAGTACTTTAGCTATACCAACATTCGACATCATAATTATCGGGATACAAAGCACGCGAACTGCGAGTTGCGAGATAAATGGCACGAGAAGAATAAAGAATTGCACAATGTTGCAGACTGTTATCGAATCGACGAGGCAACGGTAACGAGAATTAGCACGGGATGAAGACGTTCGTTTAAAGCAGTTGGCGTCTCTCGACGATAGTAAACAACACCGCAATTATCCGACCTCTTAACGACTTGACAGCGTAATTAAAACGAGAACGTTGCGTGGTGTCGTTAATTGATCGAGTCTATTGACTCTTGAAACGCTTGACGAAGTAAACAGAATGAAGCTTAAACGCGTTTATGAACTTTTCGATACGGTAATTTGCAACAGTTTAGGTATGTACGACGTAGAGATATGGGAGAAAGAAAAGAGATACGTAGCTTTGGACGCCATGTTAAAATTAAATTAAATATTATCTATCTATATCCATTATTTGTAAGATAATATTACTTAGACAAAATTAATGGTTAGATAAAACCATTTCTGATTACGTTTTCATCAGTGTTAAACGAATCAGTTCAGCTTGCATAGACGTCAACGCGCGTTTGACACGGCTTACTCGAAATCAGGCTACTCACCTGAGTGTAAACAAGAGGAACGCAAACAGTGTCGTAACCAATAAGCGCGCCAAGCCTCTTCCGGATGTCGCTGAGCTCGACAAGGAGGGTCTGCACTACTTGGTCGCTGGTTATCAGGGACTCCCTCCTGGCCCTGTTGATGATGTTCGTCGCCCACACCAGCGGCATCCAATACTTGGACATCGCCGCCTTTTTGTTCATCATCTCGAAGATTTTCTTCTCAGACTCCATCATCAGACCTGCAAGAAACGACACGGTTGGTTCGTCATTTTTTCTTGTCACCTCAGTGTAAAAGTAATTTAATTTTCAAAATCGTGATTCATAAAGATAGTCGATACAAGAATGGAAGATCAAAGTTAAGATGGTAAGTTAAAGCATATTTAAACTGCTTATTTATGCCTAATACTTTAGGGTCAACAAGCCAATTCAGCTTCCCAAAAATTCGTGAACGTCCAAACCATGGAATTACTCGTTCCCATACATAATTAAATTTTTGACCCAGAAGTCGGAACGATACGAATCTCGCGCGGGCTTTCACCGTCTGCAACGGTTACCAAATTATTGCTGAAAAGGAGCACCGGCGGCGCGGTATCATTATCGCGACAGCAATAAGTCAGAGTGTCCTCTTTTCTTAAATTCATGCTCGCGGTTCGTTAATCGGTGAACACGTAGATACACATACGTGCCGCGTTATCGGGCGATCAGCACCTCGTAGCGACTTTCGCGCGTGCATCCGCTACTACGCAGTCATCTGCTCGTTACGTGAATGTAAATGCAGACATTGAACGAAACGTATTCGATCTGTTCTCCCACGATACTCGCGGTCGTGCTTCGTTATTGCATCTTCCATGAATACTCGATAACATCCATTGGGAAGGAAAAAATGGTTCTGGTCGGTGGCAGCACAAAGTTTCATTCGTCTTGAACGTGGTTGATAAGTGTACTAGGTATGCAAACTTCTATTTGTTCATTCATTTTCATATGGTAAGGGAATTTAATTTCGAAGAAGCTTTACATCATTTTTTACCTTGACGGCGTTAGTATACTTTTATTAAGAGCATCTATAGGAATGACAAAGGGTAAAAATAGTCTTAATAAAGTGGGAAGTAAGGATTACAGTCATGTAGAATCGCAGTTCGTCATGAAAAAAAGATAGGAAATACTTGCTCGTTGAATAATTTACTCCATTTCCTGAATTCTTAATATTCTTAATATATTTCAACCTAGCAAAATAACATGTCGAATTAATTTGCCTAATGAGTTCTAGTATTGCATGTTTATAACGAGCAAGAAATTTCATAAAAATAATGAATCACACGTTGGTAGAACTCGTACAAGAGACCGCACACGCAGGTGATAAATTTTAGCGAGTCGAACATATAGAGAAACGCCTGTTAGGACTGTAGGAAGAAAGGACGATTGTTTATTAGTTGTCGAGTTGATGATTATGTAATTGCTTGCGGTTGCACACGTGACCCGATCGTAAACATGGAACACGTGGAGAGCCTTGCACATTACACGTCGCGGACAATGCAACCGAGAATACGCTATTAGTCAGTCGATGTTCGTCTTCGTATCACCGCGTGGAATGGTCTTCTGGCTATAACGTCGTCAAATATAGATACATGATTTTCGAAAGAAAACTAAACATTCGTTGGAAGAATGCTAAGTTGCCTGTTTCCGCTCACGATTTGCGTTACGTGTCTATTACGTAAGTTTCAGTCGAGGTTCTCAGACCAGCGAGATAACGTTGCACCTTTAATTACCAACGTTACAGAATCTTTCGAGCGCTGCAGCGAAATTCGGTTACCCTGGGAGCGATTTTGTAAGACACCAGGTCTTCCGAATAATTTAAGAACGATAAAAGTTTTGTTACTCGTTCACGTAACGTGGCAGGCTCAACAAAAGTATCTTCCTGAATCTATTAATACAGCAAAATAATGCCTTTGCCAGCGAGCGTATTACGTACCGAAGTATTAATAAGAACAGTACCGTGTTTTGCAAAGCAGAAATCTATGGTATAATTATGAGTACAAACTTAACTTTCTAATAGTACTCGTAAAAAGGAAGGAAAGAGTCTTAATGAATACATGTCTGATAATAAATCGTTTCTAGAATAGATTCAATCTTTTATTTTGTAACGTAAGAAACCTTGCCTACATATGCACATCGTGTTCAATGCCTTGAAATTGCGGGGTGTAAAAAATTAATAGGTAATTCTAAAAATAGATTTATCTTTCTAATTACTTTTGCTTATATTATGAACAATAGATATCAGTAGTAAAAGCATCTGTTAAAAATAAAGATTCTTTGAAAAGATTAGGTTTGCGAACAAAAGTATCGCGTCACGGTATCTCGATCATCGAAGAATTGCGCCATTTTAAGGATGCAGCAAGAACGTTTTACGCTCTAGTATAGGAGACTTCAACGCCTGGATGAACGCCATCTTAAAAGCTCGCGTTAAAACTGAAGCTGATTTCTATGAAACGGATTTTTTGTGGGCATAAAATAATTAAAACTACTTTCTTCTTCCTTTAAACAATTAAATTTAGCATGTACAATGAAAGTGGCTGTATAACAAGTGTGCTCCTACAATCATGGCTACGCTTCTGGTAACGTTACCACAGCGATCGAAAAAGTTTCGCCATTTTGTATTTTATGGATGGAACAGGAACGTTCCAGAGTTTAATCAGGGACATTGTAACGATGGTCACCGCGGCAAAAAAACGATCTTAAAAGTCACGACGACCGCGGAGAGCATCGATCGGTACCCGATCGGATAACGGGAACGCGGTAATTTCTCCCAAGGGGGATTCTTTTTATTGTTAGAGCAGAAACGGGCGCGTTCGCACGGACGTATCCGTAACGAAGCTAGAGTACGAGCCGAAAAAACGAGACGCCTTCCTCGGGAGCACGTTATCGAAATAACTCGTGGCGTCATTCCGACAAGTAGCCAGGCTCCGAAGAAACAGTCTGCGCCGTCAAAGAAACGCAAGTGCCGACGCGTAGTTATTAATGGTGACACACATGTTACTCTTGTACCATAGACGCGCGCGAGCAGGTACAGGTAATGACCTTAATAGCAAAAACCAACGCGCGTAAACTGCCGTTGAAACCAATATGGCTCGCCGGTATGCGCTCGATCCGTGGCGTCCGGTGGCCATCTCTCGTGACTCTTGGTTCGATGATTCTTTGTTTATGTTCGACAGACACGGACGACATTCTAACGAATGACGAATGGAAGTTCACTGCGACGATTTATTTCCTAGAGCAATTATTCGGATGAGCGTTCATCCATTCGCTGTGGAATCTTATGATTTGCAATTCAGATTGTAGCTTGCACGAAACAATTGACAGATTAGAAACTGTTTATTATGGATTCTTTGATTGAAATTTGTATGTGGCTGAGAGTTCTGCCTATTTCAGGAAGTTTGAAGTTGAGGTCAAATGCTTACCTGGTACCATAAATGGATCTGTAAGAGCGTGGAAGATAAATTGCTATGAATTTTGAGAGTCGTATCACTGGTGGTGTTTGATATTGTTCGAATTCTCTTCGAGAAAATTGAATCGTCCGTAGACGTCAGACGAGCGTTTTCCATCGAGAGAACAGTCCGTCGCGCTGCCGATTGAATCGATATGCAATCGACTCTTTATTCGGCGTACGCGTCCTTGATGCGATCGCACGGTCACATGGTTTCAATACAATGAGTTCGAGAATTTGCAACCGGGAGTCACGAGCGATAACTCATCGAATGACTCACGCTGGAGTCGCGAATACGGTGTTGTAACGTGTCCGATGCAGAGATGGGCAATATTCTTATCAGGATGAAAACGTCGAGTAACGGATAAAAACTAAACATCTGCTTGTTCGCTTTTCTTTCAAAAAATTGTTATACTCATTGAGGGAACCATGAGTTTATGATATGAAACATTTTAGAACAAACAGAAGTTGAAATGTACAATTGAACAAGAATCGCGAATAAATATCCATACGTTGGCTTTGTTCACAACCTATCGATCAAATTTTGCTCTTTTCTAATCTAAAGTTTAATTGCTTCTTCGAGGAAGCAATGCCACTGTTTTCATCGAAGTCCAATACTGATATAAAAGTGCTAGAAAATTGTATTCGATAAGAATTTTACTGTCGTCGGACGTGCGTCTTTCGCGAGATCAATTATACAGCTGTCGAGAACTGGTTCCAATTATCGATAAGAGTGATAAAGCAGAAATGACGTTTGTCGTCGTGAGCGCAGATCCGCGACTCGGACTACCGATGGCAAAAAAGTTCTCTTCGGTTGTAGGAAATATTTGAGGTAAATGCAATTGCATGGATCGCATTGCTATGAATGCCAACACCTTCTGCAATGTCGTTGACTTCTTTCGTGCTCCTTTTCTTGCATTTAAACTCTCTGTGATCTTCGCAATACATAATTCATAACTTTCTTTCTTTCTATACCAATTGTTTTCTTTTGTCTAATTCATACTTTCTTATTTTCATTTATTCAAAAAATTCCTTTCCTTTGGATACTCTTCCCGATGTTATTATTAAAATTAAATTAAATTAAATATATATGATAATCTTTTCTATTGAGTGAAACTCGGTCGCTTTCGCGAGCTGTATTTGGCGATTTTCGCACGAAAATTACGCCGCGACGGACGTATCCGCCAGAATCGAAATTATCGAAAGTCTATATTACCATACAAATAATTTACACCCGCTTTCACAGAGTTTTACGACTCGCGTTGATTCGCAGGGCGGTGGATCTGATTCGCGGGACGAAGAAGGATCATCTAGATCTTCAAGCGAAGGAGTCGACGACATTCGCATTCCGGATCTCAAAAGACGAGTTACTCGATGTCGTTAATGTCTGCTAACGAATCCAAATCGGCGTTAATTATGAAAGCACGCGCATGAGCGCTCGGATCGGTCCCTGACGCGAGTCATTTGCACCTTAGGTATGTCAGTCGGCATTGCGAACCTTATGTGGTCGCTACATGTCGAACCATTGCAATTTATGTAAAAGATGTCAACGACACGATTCATGCAATGAAGACAACTTGGAGTTCTATCATCACAATTCGAATTATTCAAAGATCTTTGTGAAGAGAGATCGTTGGCAAAAATGGAACTAGCGAAATAATAAGTGTAAAGTACTTTGCCTCGAGGGGATTATTGTTCACAAGGAGATCACGAGGGGATCAGAAATTTTTGGGGAATTTACAATTTTTTTCTTCAAACAAACAGTCATAGCACGGATAATCACGAGTTAATTGCTCGAGAATTTGCGAGTAATAGTGCTAATACTCTAGGTCACAGATGCAAAACACTTTGAATACAAAAGACCCTTGCGTTGACTCAAGACACACGAGGTGTCCACACGTTTGAAGTCCCAAAATTGTGATAGCGAATAAATACAATAATGTAATACACCTATAAGTACACTGATGTTAACCACCGTGCTTGATTGACCATTTTCTAGGTACCAACCTGACTCAGCCTCTCCACTGCGAGAAGTTAATTGGTCAACAAGCTCGTAGGAAATAATAGCGCTGGTATCTAAATCATGAATGCGATGTAGTTTGATTTTCAAAAACGATTATGCAGGTACAAAGGAAACCTCGCAGAAACTTGCGACAAGGTGCAACCAGAATCGCCAAGTTCGCCGGCTGAAACGACTTCGGCGAACGAGAAGGGGCCGTTCTCGTTTCTGGGAGGATGTTTACCTCTCGAGAGCATCAGCTGAAGACGAAGATAATCGAGCGGGGGTTCGGGAGGGGAGAGGGGCACGAGTACTCGGACGCGCAACGGGCTCAAAGCGGAGAACGCTGGCCGGGTCAATAAACGCAAGGATCCTTGCTTGGCTGGCAAGGTCGTCGCGAAGGTAAAAAATCAACCGTGTTCCTCGTCTCTCCTCCTTCTCATCCTTGCCCGCTCGCCTCGCCACTCTGAAAAGCATCCTTCGGAGAGAACCAGTTCGCGAGTCCTTAAACCAGGATTCTGGTTTGTTGGGCGAGGATCTGAGTCACTCTCAGAAACCCGTGTTTTCGAAACGAATTATCACTCAAAAATCAGGTCTGTCGTCGCCATCTATCGATGATTACTCTGTGGATGTGTGTAAATACATCAAAACTGGTAGAAAATTTTTCGTTCTAGCTCCTCTAGTTTTCAAGTTATTTAAAAAAGCATGGTTTTCACCCCCCCCCCCCTCCCCCCCATCCACTTTGGGAGCTGTATTCAGCCCTTCGATATGGACGATTGCCAATGAAAAACTTGTCAAATATTTTCTTGAGAATTACCTCCCACATAAATTTAATCAAAATCAGCGTGTACCCATTGAATATGTTCCCTCGTATTCTTGCTAGTATTCTTGCAAACTGATGCAAGTCATTTCAGTCACCGAAAGGATCGAAAAACTTCTCAACCAGCGAAACGATGACTCAAACCCCTCCTAATATTCCATGGACCGTGTCATATATGAATTTCGTAAAAGTCGCCCGCGTCAAACGCGAGAAGCGATCGATTTGGCGAGGAACGATTCACGCGGGAAATCGCGGCACGAGTTATTGGCGCGCGACGTCGCGCTCGCAGCCAAGCTAGCTGTCGCCTAGACGCCTGGCGCCGGTGAAACCGCTCTGATTAGGAAATATCCCCGCGTAATTAGACGGGGCAGGTTTGAATCATGGCGATCACACGCGCCCACGGATGCGCCCTGGGTGTCAATAGAGCTGTCGTCCAGGTGAAAACTGTTCTGTCCACGCCCGACTCGACGGGCACGTGTAACGATGATAGACGCGATAGCGTGCGTCGTTAACGATTTCACTATCGCCCGAGAACAAAAGTTCTGGCCCGAAGAAATCGGTGACCGTTACGAACACCTTGGCGTCTGGGAATCGCGACGTCCAACGATTATGCGAAGCGTCGCGAACCGAGGTCTCCCTCAAGGAACCTCGTCTCCTATAAGGAACCGTTTTCAAGTCGCGGCTTTCAAGGAGCCACGTTCGATTCCCGCGTATCCTGTTTTACTCTCCCCCCGCAAGATCCTTGGACGTGTTGTTCTCGGATGGTTTCACCCGGCAATTTCTCGGATGCAAAACATTCGCGAAGTACGCGATACGCTCGCGTTATATTTGGAAATGAGGTAAACTCTGTGACGTGGGAACACCTGGAATAAATTATTTCCGCGCTTTTGAGCATAAGAAATGTTGTTTTCATACGATATTATAATCCTATCTGACTCATGTCACTATTCGGCTGGTAAATAACAAAGGAATCATAGGGAAGGAACGCAGATGATGCGGTTTATGTGGACAAACCTGGATGAATTTGTCAACAACTTGCGATCATACGGGACCTATAGTTATTTATAGCGATTCAGGAGGTTATTTATTATGGTTCAGAAATAGACACGTTTTATTGTCTGGATAAATTAATTTGTGGTTATAAATATGTCCTTTCCATACCTGAAACAAGCCTATCGCCCGACCAGTACGATTTAAACCAGTGAATGACGTTGGTCGACGAAGAATTACGCGATTGTTTAGTGAAAGGAATGTTACACGAAGATGACAAAACACGACGAGCGTGTTCAACGGCCGCGACGTACGTATTCTGTACGACCAAGACGGTTTCTCCAGTTCCCTTATTTCCTTCGTTCGAGTGCGTACGGGCAAGGTGCGACCTTCCTCAAGGTCGGCCTCGATCAAGAACACGTCGATGACAGACGCATTTTCCATCGTTTCAGGAACACCGACAGATGAGCGCCGCGTATATTATAACTGTACCGCGCAAAGGTCAAGGAAATAGAACCGGTGGTGTGTTCCGCTAATTTCAAAACACCAGTGTTTCCTGGATTCTTGGCTCGAGTGACGCGAGGACTTGCCAGTCAGCGCAATCACGAGTAAAATTACCTCGAGAATGGGAAATTCGCGCCTCATAATTCCCCGGACTTCCGTTCCCATCTTGGCGCAGCCTCGACGCCACTCGATAGACAGAGATGATATGTTTCGTACAAAAATTGTAGAATGTGTAATGGAATCGTAACAGGACACCCTTGACTTTGCCTCTAGATTTAGAGGGAAAATGTATGAGCTGGGATTTTTTAGGGGGTCAAATTTATTAAAAGAATTTTTTTAGGCACCCCTTCACACCTGTACCATTAACATGCATTTATTAAACTAACTCTTCTCTTGTAAGACAAACTCTTCCTTTCGCCCAGAGCTCAAAAAATGTTAAATAAGAGTTAATTTAAAATTTTTCGTCTCATTGGATCCCACTCGTCGTCCCCTGTAGGTCAATCTAAATTTTCGACCACTGCACGAGGCACAGTTGTGTCGTATATTGCGAAAATAGGTCTCTTTCATCGAAATCGACTAGACAAATGTTTTCCCATTCTCATAGACTCGTAGCAACCTCATTGCGACTCACGACAGCATCGCGCTTGTCGATATTCCGCGCGCGTCGACGCCTCTCGAATACCGTGATCGCAATCTGGCCGCGCGCGGATCGATCGCCCGCCTGCTCTAGGACGAGCGAGTCCGAACGTAATTATTTTCTTGCTCGTTGAACAGGCTGGATCCTTCAATATAATGGCGGAGAAACTCTCGTCTGGACAATAATCCGTGCTAAATATAGGTAACGCGTTCGTGCGCCATGTCCGCGTATTACGGTCGGACGAGAGACGGATCGCGTTCCTTGGACAGTCAGTGGACGGAGGAAGAAGTATCGGTGAAATGATGATTCGTGCTTGCGTTGGAATGAAAGTCCCTTAATGTTTCAGCCGCTTCGAGCACTTTGGTGTAATTACATTTTCGAGTCTTGGTCTCGAGTATTCTTCGGGGTGGAGAAGGCTCAAGTAATGGGCACCTTCGAGGCTTCCTCGGGAGATATACTATATCTCAGTTTCGCTTCGTATTGGATTGTCGTGTGAAATTGGTGGACTGTACAGGGTTTCATCTTTCTATATGGTTGGGATCACGCAAAATGCAATAAAATATTATTGCATTATTTTATTTTGAACCTAAAAATTGGTTCAGTAATTATCGTTTTGAACAGTTTTATTTTTTAGATGCTTGTAAGTTGCAAGTTGTTCGTATTAAAATAATTCTTAGAGAAGCCCCATCACTTTTTAATGTAACCATCTGTTTTCCTCCTTCTAGGTCCAATTCAAGCAAGCATTATTCATATTATTCAGGTTCCCATAATTAAAAAGGAGAATCTAACAACCACTTTCACGCTGACAAAAAATGTTATAAAATGATTCCTTTAATGAATAAATGTTAATAAAATTTTGATTACTTTTCGGTACCTCTAGCATATACCGAAGAAGACTCAAAACTAAGTCTTGGAAGCGTCGCTATATTAAAATGCTTCAAGTGACACACGCGTCGGGGAGTATAATGGCAGTGAAAGAAAAGGAAACGAGTTTTCGAGTTTCTTGCTCTGGCCGTGGTGACCGATGAGGATGGCGACGACGATGACGACGGCGATCTTGAGGATAATGATGATGATGGCTGGCTCGCGCTACTCCACTCCGTACTCTCGCAAGGCGAAGCCGCGGCTATCGCGGTGCCTGATACCAGCTAGTCTAGCCAATTACCACCTGCAAGCCAGAGATAGATTATGGCTCCCATTACGTGTGGCTATATTTAACGACGCGGCTATATTCGTGTTCCATGGCATGGCCGCGGTGAGCAGACGTCTACTTTATGTAGATCTCGCTGGCCGCAGGATCGTTTCCTTCCTAACAGTTCGCTGCCACCGTTCAGCTGGAAACTGTCCGTCATAGACCACGCTACGGTGTAGCAATTTTACTTAATGCGTTTTATGCTTTCTTCCAAGTGCAAGTACACTGTATTAACTCTTCGATAATTGGTATACTAGAATCGAACGAGATTCTCTTACTATTTTTTATAGTATTTCGTCAGCTTCTATGATAACATTCGTGGCCATATTTTGGAATCACCTTTCTATCAAACGTCAAAGAAATATAGTAACCGATTAACTTATCGATATCGAATAACTTATCACAATGTGACACAGCCTATACTCCATTTCTAATAAAGGTATAAATTAAAAATTTCAGAAATTCTCTGAGAATCAGTGCATCGCGCAACTCATTAAAATCTCGATTTCCCTATCGGATATATAAGGAATAAATAAAGAACAGCCCCAGATTAAGGATAACTGCCACTACAAACAAATAGAATGTACATCCACTACTAATCTCGTACACGACGACTACATTCGACATTTCATCCCGACGAGCCTGTATCTATTTTCCTCCGGCCAATAACATCGTAAAAACAGTTCTCGATCGAACGGTCAACGCATCGGGAGCTCGTAATTTCGCATAATTACGCGTTACGCAGTCGCGATTCCGATAAAGCAGCGATCATAGCACAGAAGGCGGTGCGATCGTAGAAAAGGCGAGGCCGTTAAGCGATTGGTATGAATACGGGTGTATTTAGCGAGTCAATGCCTGGAACAAATAACGCGCTCGCGATAAATCGCGGAATGTTCGACGAGGAACGTTCTCTTTTGTGGGAGGCGCGCGCGACGAGGAAGAAAACCGATGGCGCCACGGTAACGGTGAAAATGAATGGCAACGACGAGAGATCGCGACGCGGGATGAAATCGGCGACGGAACAGAGCCGAGGAAGCCAAAGACAGTCGGTGATTATCTTATCAAATGGCACAGTATCGGTAGTCGCCGTGGACTGTAATTAACCGCGGGTTATTTTTATATGCGAGGAGGAAGGTGGAGAGATCGGCTCGCGATGGAGCGAAAAATCAACGACAACGCCCGGGACGAGGAGGAGCAGCCAGAAGAAGCCCGTCGTAACGTTCGCTCGCTTCTGGGCTCTGGGAATAGATGGTAAACTACATGGCACTGGTCTGGTCGGCCCGTACGCCGAGTAAAACGAGGATCGCGCGACCGAAGGAAAAGGAAAAGGATGAGGAACTGGCGCCGGCGCTCCCGCGTTTCTAAGCGGTCTCGGCTGCGCTCCTTGAAAATTACCCGGACGCACGTGAAAATTGCCTGCCGGCGCGGAGCGCCTCGTGTTCGATTTACGCTGTCGACCCAGCTAGAGAGATTCCTTCGAGACGAATCGCAATTTCCAGATCTCCGCTGGCGGAATTGGTGCGCCTCGCTAATTTATTTATTCGTACGGAGAGGTCTACCTCGATTCGAGTTGATTCGTTTCGGTATTTCGTGGCGGAGGAATGTCGTTGAACGTCTTCGTTATCCTTAATGTTTCGTCCCTATCTTTTATGAAATACAAGGAGGGTTTTTTCTTGAAATACATGTATTGGGTATATTAGCACATGCACGAAGCGTACATAGGTTGGACCTTATAGTAGTGCCCTCCTTAGGATACTCAGTCTGATTAACAGTTTTCTATCAGGGGAAATTGAGGCTCTTGTTTTTCTTCGGTAAATTTAAAAGTGTGGTCATGATCTCATAAGTGGTATGTTGTTGTTGGAAGAATTATATCCATGCCTCGGTTGGATATTTTAAGTAGGGGAGATAAGCGTGTCTTGGTAAAAATGTTATACACTTCGTATGTCATGACTTAGTTAATGAGCACGAAGACATTTACATTAATGATAATACGTAGATATGTAGTACAGTCAGTCTCATAAATATTAAAGAATCTATTAAAGAAGTTTGTCTAAATTAAATAATAGGTTCGATGTTTGCGAATATTATGTTTCGTTATAAATACGTATTATACACGGCCAATTTTGGATAAATATTTGGATTCAAATATTTTGATTTGTATCTTTCCGTAAAGTTTGAAAGATTGCTAGTGTCAGTGGGCGATTTTTGGGAAGCAATTTTTCCTGGTCGATGTAAGATTCCGTGTCAGCAGCGATTTGCATCCGCGCCTTTCGTGAGGTTCCGCGTAAGTCAACGACCATAACGGTTACATTGCGATGCAACGTAAATAGAATCGTTTGCAATTTAAGCGTTGTGAGATTTGCGCGTGTACAGTTTCCGTCCTGCTACCCGTGGAATATTCATTGCCGTCGCTGGGCTGACTGACTGCAGTCGAACGCAGTCGAGTTCGGAATGAAATACTTCGGCAAACATCTTCTTACGCTATAAATAGAATCCCATAACGTTTCGCTGTTTTACGCATAGATTACGCCGTCCCGTGAGCCATAAGTAATTTTTAGTAAAAGTAATTTTTGTTTACGCTGAGACAGCCTAGGGAAGATTTTTGCTGTCGAAAACACGGTATTTGTCTCTCAGGATTCAACCATGACGACGTCATAACAGGATCAACGTGTTACATATTAAGAAGATGGCAATAAAAAATATAAAAGCTAGTGGAAGATGTTTGTCATAGGATGCGTTCTAAATTCTTAAATCGTTGTTCCTCACTAACAAAGCGATCTGAACCTGCGATGGGTCATCACAGGCTCGGTTCAGGATAAACAGATTACCATTTGCGTTCAGCGAAAAGAATTTTGGCGAAACTTAAATGCGACGTAGGACATGTGCAATTAGGGCCAGTTTAAGTCATCGTTCAACTGGATTCGAATTTGTTTCAGAATTACAGTTGCTATTTGTTAAAATCTGAATCGCTATTCCTGAAAACTGTAGAGAAATTTAAATGTAGCCTTCAAAGCTTATTTTCTTTTACTAGATCCTAGTAGCAAATCTACCACCCTTCGTACCAAGAATGCTAATCATTGAGGGTGCTGAAACGAGTGTGATGGCCTCTGAAAGTTAAGCGATTCCTGAAAGATCCTTGGTCTGGGTGTTATCGACCAACACGTTCGATGTCGCGCACTTAACAGCGGCTTCCTGCGCCATCGAAAATTCCGTCTTCTCTTATTCTCCTTTTTTTTTTTCTATACAAGAATGCATTCTCGTTGCATGAATTATTGATGGGATCTCGCGCGGCGATCCGAGCCTCTATCGACGAGAGGAGACTCGTTTCTACAGCGACTGCGGAACGGATTTGGATCGTCCTCGCGGGTTTCTTTCGTTCAATGGCGCGGCCGGTCGCGTTTCTTTCGCGTTTCGAACGCGCGATGCCAACAGTGTTCACGTGTTCGAGGGGATAATTCCACGGAAGGATCGTTTCTTGTCGCGACGCTCGTCACTTATTTCCCGGCCAAGGGGGCCGATAGAACTTAAGCTCATGTTCATGGAAGATTCGCGGAACACGGGACTGAAAAATGCATGCTATTTCTAGTCGACAGGCGCATCCTCGCCGACGTCGATTGACAAAAACCTGGAGATTAGTATCTTTCTTTTGCATCCCGGGAAACGGCTTCTTTCGCTCGGCTAGGGATACCGTAAGACCGATCGTGAAAATTTTTACGGTCGGACACTCGTGAATCGCATTGAATCCTACCTGGAAATCTTTAACCTGATGCGAGTTGAACACATTGATGTTTCAAGTTGGCTGTATGGAATTACCGAGTAACTTATTATTACATTCGTAATTAGCAGTCTTAAAAACCGTTATGTTACGTTAGTGACGAGTACTTTCAAACGCATTATCAACAATAATACTTTCTTCTGGAAGAAAGACTTGTTTTTAATTATTATTTCACCAATTATTGTTTCATCACAATTTCAATATAGAATACAGAAAACTTATATTATGTTATCTTTAAAAAATAACCAAGCAATATTATTTTCAATTAGCGTATTTCGATTACTTAATTCGCACATACTTGTTTGAAGTACTTTCGCGTGGCTACTGTTCTAATGAGATCGCACAAGACGTGTTATTTTCTTTATACTCTTCATCCTTCGCGTCACATCTGTGACAATGGATTTAAAAAATCATGATGATCTCGTAATTGCATCGACGTTATCTCAAACTCATGGGAAGTGTTTGCAGTGTGATTGAACTTTTCATTGTGTTCGCGAAGGTCTCGACGAGCGGTTTCTCGAACTCTTCAAGGACTCGGTTCTGTTGGAAATTATCTGCGGGCAAAGGTGACGTAAATTATGCCATTTATAAAAAGATCGTGCGGTCACCAGGATTTTGAGAAGGTTATGCACGAGATTTCGAGAATCGTATGGCATTGTTTGTTTAGAGCGAACGAGATTCATCGATAACGAGGATCAGGCTTTCAGGGTGTAATTGATAATTTAAAAATATATAACCTCGAGCCCATGTGACCTTAAACCACCCTTATAAGGGCGCAACGATAACTACTTTTCACGAGTTTTCACGGCCAAAAACGTAGTATTTTTCATTCCATGACCGCGTTTCAAGGTTACATACGGTATATGTCTCAGCGTCGATTAAATAACGGTTTTCCGTCGTGCAAATAACACTCTGCTTATCATACAATGGATTCATACGAATCGCTTATTAAGAGGCAATTGTAATTCCTCGGGGAACGCCGAAAATTTTCGCTCGCATCTCGATTTGGAAAGAATTCGCGTACATCTGTCGCTATATCGTCCTTGTCGCCAAACGAGGAGGTTAATTGTGCAGGAACTGGCGTGTGTACTAATTGATTATACGTCCTTGAAGTGGCAATAATCGGCACGAAAGCACAGGCAAACATTAAGAATCGTACGCTCGGCTCCAAATCGTATTTCCTATTAAAACGATCCTCTTGACGAGGTTATTGTGAACGCTCGATAAACTCGAGACTGCTATTCATCGGCATCGATCAATTTTATCCCGCTTGGCGAACATAGTCAAACCATTTAATGACGAATATCGGATTTGATCACCGGCGTAGAAAGTGAAGTAGCGAGATAGTATAGCGTTTGATAACGCTGTTATGCAACGCCGCAGTTCGAGCCACCGATATTATATACAATATCGCAAATAAACTACATTCCTTTATTGTAAAATTTGAGTTTGCACATAGTCGGTGCAAGCAGTTCTTCGTTACTTCCATAATTTATATATTCAATATTTATATTATATCATATTCAATATGTTTTCATTGAAGATTTTTCCAGACCAGTTTTCACTTTAAGTTCAGAGTGGTTTTCGAAACACCGGCAGAATTGAACAATATCTTTCTTGGCCTGCATCCTGTTTCCATAACTTTAAATTCAGAAGATACATTTGATACTCCACAGAAATAGAAAATACTTTCTATTTAATATCGATCGTTCACGCGCAATAAAAAAAAAAACTAGTTACACTTTCTTGTAGCGTGTGGACGTATCCGCGTGGCGCGCACGGTTCCCATAAACACCTCGAACAAAATGATAAACGAGAGTGTGCGGTACCGGCGGTATTTTTTGCACGATTATAAAGGAGAAACGAGCGAACAAGAGAGTAATGTGTTTGATAAAGTGAATGTACTGACCAACGTCTACGATGTGCTGAAGCGTCGGAAATCGCCTTTTAACGCGCAACGAAATCCTTTGCAGCGTAATGACATACGCGAGGACGGCGTACCTCACGATGTTTCTCCTCATCAGTCTCCCTCTCTCGTCCTGCAATGTGAAAACATTTCAAAATTATAACTCAGGTAACCGTGCCCGACAATCCTAGGAACGCGGCTCGCTCGGAACCCGCGCAACAATTAAGAATAAGCACTCGCGAGCGAGCACGCCTGTCGACACGGTTTATTGGAGAATGGTCGTAGGATAATAATTTAACGCGCGATTCTATAAATCATATTAATGACCCTTATTCAAATCTGATCCGTCTCACGTGTATTGAGGTGGAGAATGCGTCGATAAGGTTTAGTTAAGAATTTATTAGGAATTATGCATCGATGTTGTACTTTCAATGCGAGCAGGTCTATGTTATCATTTTTGAGAATATTAAGTTTCATGAATATGGGAGTAATTAATCCACTTGTGCTTATGATACCCGAGAGATTTTTATCTATTCCTAGCTCACTGGTTCTACCTTTCTAACCGTCGATTCCTTTCCGTGGGCAACCCCTAAGTATCTCAAGTTTAGGTGAATGATTAATGGTCTGGGCGGCCTTACTAATGGTCCCATAAACAGATCTGCGTTGAAACCTGTAGCCTTTATACTCCGTTTTATCACGCCATCTTATCTACTCTCGTATCTCAGCAGTCACAATAGTCTACGACTTCGAGATACCCAAACTTTAATCAGGATTCTCCATAAGCTGACATCGTCTGCTTGGAAGATACCAATGTATCACAGTTCCATCTCAAGAAAGAACAAGCATCCTCAAGAATGTGTAATGTAGTCTTAATTGGAATCCTTTGGTAAAAGTTGCTGGTTCTAACGCTATTGAACTCTTCACGGTCTCAATGAAAGCCGAATTAGAAACACAGATTAGAACGCCTCCAGACGCTAAATTATAAGATTACGCTTCACGAGTCTTACCTCATGAAACTCGAACGTGCTCAACAGGTTGACTACCCATGTCACTCGATTATGGGCGACACGTAAAATTCACAGGTGATCGCGTCACCAGAATACTGGTTACGCTAAAACTTTACCATGGCATTAGTCCTTCCGCACGTTAACGTAGAGACACGATTAGGGAGACCGTGAAGACAATTATGGACATTTTGTTCTCAGTGGACGTAGTTTAATTAATCTCTTAACTTTTAATTCAATTATGGTACGTCATTTTGTCACGAATAAATCATAAACTTTGGCTTCTTTTGGCCTTCATAGACGCGTGATCTCTTAAGCTTCTTAAAAACGATTTAGCAGGCGTTCCCGATTTTGTAACCGTGAAAGTTACAGCTTATCATTACGAAACCTAACGTTGCAGGTGGAACAATTGTCTGACTTAATGTCCGTCTACGCTCCTCAGGGTCAGTGAGCACCTTCGATACAGCTTGACATTCGTAAAGTGAGTACATATATACTAATTGACTCGTTTGTACATTACACATTTTTTTTTTGCCTCGCGATCATGTTCTCTTACAAAGAAAAATAAATATTCCATGTATAATTAATTAAAAACAATATATCTTATAGAATAATAATAGATGTATTATAAACTTATACTATAATCCGAAGGAAGAAAAGATTCTTAGTCTTCCTTCTTTCAAAAAAGATCAGCTTGTTGATAAATAAACTCCCTAATTGAGTAATTACTTACAAAATAAATTGGATATACATCAGGGTTAGCATCCAAAACTAGATGCACTTACCTCGCAAAACAAACAAATTCAGGATGAATTAAAATCGGTATCGTCGAGACGTTCTCGCTTCAAAATTCGTTTCCTAGGTCGCACGAATGCCGGACACGTTTCCACTTGGCTTGTAGACACTTTCCCCTCGTTCCTTTGGCCCGTGGTCGCGAATCATCGCCAGTTTCGTGCCGTTCCAGTGTTAATCCGAAGAAAAATCCGCGGCGGCGCCTGCCGGCTATTTTTCCTTTCGTTTCTGGCCAACGACGCACGCATTTTGTAACCGACCGACCGTTTTGTAATCGCCCGCTGGTCAACGATCGTGTTCGTCCCGCGGAATGTCAATTCGATCGGAAATCGATGGACGATCGATTCCTGGATCGAAATTTTCCGCGCGACGATCGACGAATCGTCTTTTTCGTGCGTCCTCTTCGCGTCCTCTTCGCGCGACTTTCTTCGTACACCGCGACAGTTCTTCCTGTCTGGCAGACGATCATCGGTAGTCTAATTGAACATCGGTTCAAGGCGAATCGTTATGTATGTAGACCACGATGTATTCGGATGAAGCATTTTGTGGATCGAGGCACGTCTCGCCGAGCTCGATATAATGCATGCAACCAGACGAAGAAAGTTTGTCGAAACTAAAATTTTCGACCGGCTAATAACACGTGGACGGTGAACGTTGCGCGAGCCACGTGCCGATTTCGAACGATCTGCCGTCGTCTGACGAAGAAAGTTGCATGGCACGAGCAGCGATATCATTGAAAGCGATGGGAACGATGGCACCGTAGGGTGAACGTACCGGTAATCGACGAGTTATGGAGAATGGAGGGGTACGTCGTGATCAGAAATTCTTAAATTTGAAAGTACGGTTACGGGAGATGTTAAATTTGTAACTAGTGTTGGACGAAGGAAATTAGTTATTGGATTCGCGCGCGCGCGCGCGTGTGTGTGTGTGTGTGTGTGTGTAAACTTGACGTATGAAGTTAAGGGGAAAGTCGAAGAAGATTGTTGGCCACGTGGTGGACTCTTCATTATAACGATATGGCCTAGTTATCGCCGTGGAATTGAACCAGAATTCCATCCTAATCAAAATATGTCACTACTTTCTCGTTTCTTCTTGTTGTAATATATTACGACATTAACATGTTCAACTAGACGCTCCGTATGTAATAGTCTATTTTTCAAGTGGAATTAATGGTGACATTAACGACGACCAGAATTCTAATAGCGACTATATCCTTTTAGCAATGATGTGGTGTATAGATCACTTTGCCATCCCTCGTTACAGGTGGTGCAACGCCAGAACTCATTTCCACTACCTTCTCGGTCCCTCTTTGGTTTTTCCTTTTGCACTTTCTCTAATCCCTAATGAATTACATTTGAAATTTATTCTTCGCGATCTTAATTAACGAGCCGTCGAAAAAATTCATCGTTGAACGTCTCAATCACCGGCATACAAAACCATCCAACCAAATCAACTGAATCCGTTTCAAAAGTTAACGTCGATCTGTATCGTAAGCAGTCATCGAAAGATTAATCCTTAAATCGCAAAAAGAAGATTCACCTAGATCGAATTAAATTCAGAAGCTCCGAATTCGTCGAAGAACGATCCCCGAGCTGCGTGGTCAATGACACAATGCCGAAGTGAAAGTGCAACCGTATATCGTAGCGAGAAAGAAGGACGAACCTACGCGTTGTGAACATCGCGCGCGCAGGATTCCATCTTTGTTCCTCCGACCGCTGCATCAGCAAATCGAGCAAGATTTTAACATTCCTCGATGGAATTATGGCGTTGATTAATATTCATGAAAATGCAATGATAAATTAGCAATTCCTAATTAATTGGACCTACTCTTTGTTATTTATTATTGCATTCAATCTTAGAACTGATAATACTCATGCCTTGATGTAAATAGTCTCGCTTCAGATAGTTCCAAGAAAGTACGTACGAACATATTGAATTTTAAATGATGTTTAACAACATTTCTCCACTCGCCCAAAATTGAAATTTAATATACAGTCAATCTCGTACATATTCGTACCCACTATATCTATTAAAGAAGTTTGTCTGAATTAAATAATAGGTCCGATGTTTCCAATAAATGTTTTATTATAAATATGTCACTGCCTAATGCTCACAAAAATTTGAGAACAACTCAAAACTAACAGAATCTCAACTGTAGACTAAAATATTCCCCAACGAAGTCTAAAACGCACGAACATCAAACGCACACATCATAAATTGCTACACGCTGCTTACATTCGTAATCAATTACCCAACCGAAATTGTTTAAATCGTCCCGAGCCCTCGTGTCCGGTTGGTTCCCATAACGTACGAGTCCCTTTTCCCTGACGGTTAGGTTGTCCCGTTGTCCGTTCAAAACACGAGCGTCCCTTCTTCCACGGAATCGCGACTTATCGCCGCGCGTGTAAAAATGTACGGCTTGGCAGCTTGAAAAGGATCCTCCTGAAGGGGTGGGGAGGGAAATGGCGGGAGTCGAGCCATCCTTCTCGCCTCGGGGCCTGAATTCTAATTAGATTTCAATGAAAGGCACAGGCCAGGAGCTCGCGCTGCCCACTCGAACGCTGCTCATTCACAAATCCGATACTTTGCGTTACGTGACTACATGACCGTGGGCGGCTCTCGGTACGTACAAAACTACAGTCCCGTTCCGCGGACGCGAACCTTGCTCGTTGGCCGGCCGCGTGCAGAAATTCCGTTGCAGCCGAAGACGGCGACGTCTGGGGATCGTTCGCGATCCGGACGGGCCCAGCGACCCAACTTTCTCGCGCGATGCGAAAATCGCAGGCCCCTCGAAATGCAAGTTACGTCGCTACAGTTAACGCGGAATTGCGTGCGCGTGTAATTATTTCGACGAACGCTCGTGGCGGTTACTAACGAGGGAAGGATCAAAATCCTCCTCCCATTTTAACGAGCTCTTGCGGGATGCTCCAAGACGAGGGCGATTATACAATTGGATCGGTTTCAATCCTTAACTGTAATTGCTTCGAACGTTTCGTTGGCAGGTGCATGGTGGTTTCTTTTATTTATTCGAAATTTGGGACATTTACTTTTTTGATTCATTTGCCAACTTTATTCAGCGTGTCAAAAATCAAAGAAAACTGTAATCGCAAAAATCGCATTGTGCTCTAGTGAAGTGAAAGATGTTGCAATGTGTAAGAAAAATCGTACTTCGATGGGGAGAGAGTTAAATAATAGACGGACACAGGAAAAGGAAGCTTGAAATTTGGCATTGAGGTGCGAGGTTGCTTAAGAATTAACACTGAACCAGATGAATGGAGCATTATCGATGTGCGAGGATAGATACGAGAAGAGTAAATTAGACAGGTAAATAGAAGATTTTGAGGCAAGAACCTCGCAAACAAGACATCAGAGCCGACATGTCGAATATATTTAGACGTTACTTAAAACTGCCGAGAAGTATTTGTTTAGAAGGAATCAGAATTAAATCAATGATTGTAAACTACTGTCGAGCGATGATTTATGTGTTAGTTCTGAATAAATTTAGACTAAGGTGAGTGGTATATAACACTAACGAGGGAGCACGTGACGTGTGATCTATTTTCTAAATCCATTTATTAATCACCATGAAAGTAATTAATCGAATGCAACAAGGGAGAAATTTATTTTATAATTAAAAACACACGAGTGTTTCAAAATCCTATAATCAGAGCAATCTTTAAGACCAATTCTTACGCAAGCTTCGCATGCCTGAAGAGACTGATAGCGGTGGCGTCGCCTCGGGCAAAGAATCCGAAGAACCTTTTCGAAGATCAAACTAATTAGTTGGTAATTGTGGCACACTTAAAAAGGACCTCGTGGAATGTAGCTAACCCCATTTTTCACGTTTCTGAGCACAAAAGGAACGAAGACGATACGAAGTGGGAATAACATGGAGAGTATACTCGGCACAAAAAGTATTTTTCAGACGGTTAATTCATAGGAACCGCGCAACTTTGCTTGCGAACTTTCGTTATCGGTTCGCTCGACGCGATCAGAGAAAGTAACGATAATGGACGCCAATTTCTCGCTCGTGCACCGATGCAGCCCGAGCACGTGCGCGAGCGGTTTAAATCGCGTGCCAAGGGTCGCGCAGGGACTTCGTGGCTCCCGACAGTCCGTTATCCAGACGCAATGAGACGATTCAAGAAGATTAGCTCGCTTGCCAATTATGGGATGATCGTTCCACGCATTTTTTTTTTTCGCTCCTGGGCGTGGCGTGACTCTGCGCTGGCACCTACTTGGGTTAACGACACCGAAACGTGTCACGGCAATTCATTAGCGTAATGAGACGAACGACGACCACGACTGCCTATTCGAGCAAGGCTGCATTTATCGCCGATTCGCGCGACTTCGAGTACTGGGAACTTCGTCTTCGTTTTAAAAGAGTCGCATGTGGTTGCAACATTCTGCGAAGGAACTTTATGTCCTTTTTAATATTTATTCATATTTAATCTGAAATGAGTAGATGTCAGGTAACGATGCATTCCATTTTCAATGTTAAAAAATGCCGAGGTTGGGTCGCGTTCGAAACAATTTTTAGTGAAACAATTGTTTTATTTGACTAAATTGAGACGAGCAAAAACGGCTTGACACAAAACGCGCTTATAAACGGGACTCTTTGTGTGGCAGCTCGAGCAAGAATTTCGAGGAACCATTTAGAATTTCGTACTTACATTTCCTGGAATCGCGGCGCTGATAAATAGAGCTAAGTTGTCCGGCCAGGGTAATAATTTGTACTGCTCCCACCATCGCTTCACGACCAGGCTCACGTAAAATCCCAGCACGAACGACATCGGTATCGAGTCACTGGAGTTCCCAAAGTAGTATCTGATCTTTTCGAAGATTCTGCAACAAACAGTTATCGAAAATTCTTATTCGGTTCTCACGTATACGCGAATGAATTAGCGTTCCTCCCATCCACTTTCTCTATCTTCGAACACGTGGATCTCCGCTATTCGCTGAACAATTAAATGAAGAATAATCAACGTTGCGATACAGGCGTTCGAACGAAACGAACGTTTACACAAATCATGTATAGTTAAATATTTGTATAGTTGCTCGCGTATCGCGTGTGGTGGAGTTCTTACGTCGTCTACAAGTAGAGCAAGGTTGAGGTGATGCCGTCACCTAACCAGACCACTACCGGTCGTATAGCGATTATTGGCAAATAGGAATTTTCACTAAGTTTCCCAGGGAGTGGCGAAAATTCTTTCTAACTCTAGTATTTTATTTCGGTGTTCAGAAGAATAACGAGGCCAAATAAACGTTCAGTAATCTAGTTTCAGTTCCAGTTTTGTTCCAATGCGTAATACTGTCAATTTTTAACTACGAGAATTGATCTTCTGATTTCACATTTTAAAGCATTGCAAACTTTATTAGAAATACTAATTTGTCTATAGAGTTCAGAAGGAAGTTGAAACACGTATATCGCTTGTCAACCTTCAAGAAGAGAACATCGTGAAGATAAAGGTAAAGTTCAGCCTGAGGAGGCTCCAAGAAAGGTCTCAAGTTTGAAGAGTCAAGTGGAAAGGTAAAAGTCTGACCAAACTTTATATTAATGATGAAGGAAGGACGGTTTTTTTTTTTAAATGGATGTCGTGAAGAATATATATCCTTGGTTACGTTGATAAATCATTGTTTTAGAGGGTAGAATTAGTTTTCTTTGAGAGCCTTGAATCTTGCCAAGTAATGTGTACGTGTCAGGACGTCTGCTCGTCAAACGATGGAAAATAATCTTATGAATAATGAAATGCTAACTTACACGGTAACGAAGTATTATTAAAGGAGATCGGCAGTTCTAAACGAGGAAAACGTGTTCGATAATTGCAGTATTTCAGTATACCCATCAATGTTTCCATAATTTTTTTTTACTCTTTAGCGTCATAATCGAAGACATACGTGACACGGAGTTCATAATAAGTTTCTTTTATGCAAACACGAAGCAACATTAACAAGCAGTGTTAAGCCGGTTGGCCACGGTTCTTTTCACCTGACAACTAATTTTTCACTCGCCAGTGACGGATAAATTTCATTTTATAAATCGATGTCATACGAAATTTACTCAAGTTTCTTTCTATTTCATTGTTATTCAAAATCTGAACCTGCTATTCGTTACTCGAAAATATGATCTAGCCAAAGATTTTTGCCACCTTCGTTATTCCAACTTCAAAAATTCCATTTCAGAAACGACGTTTATCGCTGAAAATTACGAAAATATACGACCGAAAGAAGCTTTTGTATCGGTTCCCGTTTGGCAGATCTCTCATGTCATTGTTCGGCCTTGCTGGGCCCTAAGCCAACCCCGAACCGGCCCTACGGTTCTAAATTTAGAACAGGCGAATCGAATCCAGAGAGATCCTCTTTGCATGCATGGACCTCAGCTCGCGCTTCTTTATACATCTTTTTTTTTTTTTTGACCTCGGTATAAATAACAGGTTACGTTTTTATGCGTTTTTTAATGCCGACCACGGACGAGTCTGCAGTCCGTTCCAGGCTGTAACGTTTCGCGCAACTTACGGCGGAAGGAGGGACCATTTTATTTACGATATCCGTGATTTAGGCCCGCGCAATTCATCCGAAGTACGTCCATAAAATACTTTCCTCTGATATTTTCGACGAATGCCATTGCACGATTAAAACACGCGGCGATCGCGTACCAACCAGCCTCTGTTGAATATGCCGTTTCGAGAAAAGTGATATTAAAGTTTAACGACGATTTTTAAAAAATAAAAATAACTTGGTAAAAGGATGTCGAGTGAGCTACAGGTTCACCGATTTTCATTTCTATCCAATCGTTCCTTCTTCCAACAAAAAAAGTACAAGATCGCTTATTTAAGGAAATCCTTTTCTTTTTAACTAGTTTGAAGGTAACATGCATGATTTTTTTTGCGATCAAAGTGCTTGATGTAATCCTTTGAAATTTGGTACGTTTATTGGTACATTTATGTACAATATTCTCTAAAATGTTCAACCATCCTGCTCAATTTCTAAATTTTTTACTTTAAAGGCCTTCAAGCAGCAAGGATACTAACCCTTTGCACTCCGAATTTTCTGATTACATTCTTGCCGAGCCTCGCTCGACGTAGGATCGCAAAGTGTTAAGAAAAAAAGTTTATTTTTAACCCAAAGGGTTGAGAAGAAAAATTTATTTTTAACCCAGAAAATCGAGAGTACTATCTTACGAATCTCTGCGGGTGTCAGTCGAAAAACGAATAGTCGCCGCCGACCGTAATTACTCGAATTGACGTATGCTTCTTTCGTTAATAGCTGTTTCGCGTCGCAAGTCGACGTTTTCCGTTTATGTGTGCGCCATAAAAAGCCCATGTCGAGGAAGAAACGACGAATGAAATTGCGACCGTAAAAATTAAAGAGTTAACCAGCCACGCAGGGGGGGGGGGACAGCGAGCCAACGGTATTAATGTTAATAAAACGAGGCCGCCATGCGTGTATCGAAGTTGACCGATGAAACGTAATCGTCATCTGAACATTGGAGACTACGGCTTTGTCGTCCGACCAAGGTCGATACCGCGTGGGTTTATCGACGGGCATAAAATCCACGATTATGGCAGCTTGGTACCCACGCATCGAATTTATTTTCTACTGGATATAAAATCGATTGAAATAGCAACAGTTGCGCGATACATTGTTTCCATTCAGTTGCAGAGAATTTATTTCCTTCCCATCGTTTGAAAGTTCTTGGCGAGTGATCGCATTGTTTGTTGGGGTGTATGAAATCATTCTGGGAACTATAGTGGTCTTTTTTATGTGATGATAGTAAGAATTTTGAAGGGCAGTATCGATATCTACGTGAACAAGTACAATCACTGTGAAGTAATCGCGGTGTACGTATAGTTAAAATAATTTGTCAGTAAAAGAAAGTTGTTACTGTCGAAAAAATATTGGCGGAAGTATGACGGATATTTTTCTAAATTGACTTATGAAATAATTGTAGCCCAGTTTCTCGAGCGACCTAGATACAGGCTATGTGTAAAACTTTAATAACGGCAGATAAGAGCTGCATAAGAGATTCATTCGTAAAAGAAGGCATTTTCATTTATTGAGATAGGGTGTCTCAGGAATCGTTGCCAAAATTGTGACAATATATTATTAAAAGACAAAATGAAAATTACATTCAGTGAAACCAAAGGAAATCGACAGAAAATTATCAGAAAATTGATCTGTAAAAATAGGTTAACCCATTTTTATTTTGTTTCATTTTCATGCATCGATGGGAAATATTCATGGGTCGATGTTTATAAATTATTTCCTGTGACACTCTGTATATCTCAATTTCAAGGCGATGGGCTACATTTTTATTCCGCGTTATTACTGGTTGTTTAAGACTTCAGCCTTCTTAAGTCTTCGACTTCGACTTCGAAAGATATTCAAATGAACGTGTACATGTACTCACACCCGCTGGTGCTCGTTGAGTGCATATCGATACGTAAGATTGATGACGTAGTAGACGAACAGGTAGGCCAGCAATTCTCGCCAAATTAGCTTGTATACGGAGCCCCGCCATCTGCGAAAGATAAATACAAAGAAACGTGATTAGTATTTAAATATTATTCGTATCGTCGTTGCGTTCAAATAGCAATCGCGTGATTGGCTGCTGCCACGAGCAGAATCTTATTTGAACAAGTAGCTGACGAATAAAAGTAACAATTATTTCGATTGAACAGGTACTTAAACAAATTCTGTCTGAACGATGCTCTGAACAGTACGTTGAATTTACTTTAATTAATCAGAAACTTGTAACGATCAATCTATGTTTTTTTAGGGGAGTCAGAAACCATTCGACTGAACAGATATTTAAATTTATTATTCAAGACGGATTCGATAAGCATTATTCGAAGTAATTAACTTCCACGAATATCCAATTTTTATCTCGGTGGCTTGATCACTAGAAAATTCTTTTACAGGAAGTACGTTGTCTAGCCATTCTTTCGAATAACGAACGCGTGGAGCGTGTTTTGTTTTAATAGAAGGGAAAAAAGTAACGAAAGAGCGGTTTCCCTTTCGCGGATTCACCGCCTCGCATTTCGGTGGTCAGCGATCGTGATGAAACGCGAGACGGTCTGCGCTTTCGACAGCAGCATTGCCCGTTTAGAAATTAGATTGCAGAAAGTGGAGGCGTCGTCAAACGATCGTGTTCCAACGATAACGATGATACGAATCAAAATTATTCGTTTCAGTTTTCGTTGCTCGCGTTTGCAATCGTGGCACACAGGTGGAATTTTCAATGATACTTCCTATATGTTAACGATGTCTCTGGAAACATAAGAACCCTTTAGATTTTCTCATTCCAATTGCAAGGAATTTCACTTCGTTGACACTAATACTTCTTCGAAGACAAGATCAACATCCTCTCTAAACATTCCACGAAGAAACTTTATTCTTCGAAGAAAGCGGACTTGCATAAGTTTCACGAGGAACTTCGTTGCATTTGGAGTTTAGCAACGGCATTTACCCTCGCACCTGGCATATTTTTAAAAATAATTTCTTATTATACATTCTGAAGTTAATGGATTGTGAAAGCTTCTCAGAGGAATTTAGATGCATTTAGCCACGAGTGCTTCTAAAACTCGTATCGTACAGCATAGAAGGCCTTCGGACATCATAAAAATACATTGATTACACATTTCGAGGCTGTTTCAATGCGTAACGACGTTATGGATTAAAAGTGACCGGGGTATTCGGTATCTGATGAGTCTCGCCCCGAATGTGTGTCAGGGTTAGATCAATTTTACGAGCTTGGGGTACACTGAATTCGCAATATTTTCGTTTCGAAACGCTCCGTGAACCCATCCACCAGCGTTCCATTATATTGCAGGCGTGCATGGCTCTAAACTCATCGCTATTCGTCCACTTTATGGCTTTTTCAACGCTGGGAACCTTCGTCGATAGATCGAGAACATCCAGGCACTCGGGTTGAAGTCGCCGAAGGTCGACGTTACCGAAGGTTTTTCGGCGTTACCAATCGCGAGGCGACAATGACTTTAAATTCAAATCCTGTAGGTACACCGCGACGAAGCGTAGTGCAAACGAGGCCAAAGTGAAAAGCCCGACGTGTTCCGTTGCTGTATCTACATTGTACGCTTATGCGCGCGAGTAAACACCTCGGCGACAGCTGTTTGTCGAAGAAGCATTCAGTTTTTACGCCACGAATGCTCCATCTGCCGCGAATAAAAGTTTAACAATCGAGAGGGACCTGTTAAGTGGATGTCCTTGGGGTATTATTTGAAGAAATGTGGAGCTATATTTTACCGAGAACAGACGTTCATCAATTATACAATAACGATCAATATTAACACTTGTAAACACTCGATCAATACTTTTAATCTTTATTGTATTTATTTATGAAAGCTTGGAAGAACGATTTTATTGATTGGTTTGCCTAAGGGCTGAAACGTCTACAAACATCAATATTTGTAACACTAACTCGACAATAAATACGTCTATTGTCAAATCACTAATCTTTCCCTAAAAGAACTCCATCCTCGACCCGATACAATGATAAAGATGAACGTAAACAAAATGATTACAATACCGGAAATTGTTCTCTAAAAACTGTGCCAGGTCGTAGAAACATACTTCGGCGGCATTGAAATCTCCACAGAGGAAAGAAGCTACGAGAACACCGCGCGGATATCCGGGGCATTCAAAGCACTTTACCTTAATGTATTCACAAGAGCGTAACAACCCGGTGCTTGATCACAGTTTTCTAAATAGTCGTCGACGCACGACGATCGAAAAATCACGTTTTAGATTTTTGATACTCTCGAAGTGCCTAATCATCGACCGTGTTCAATGGTAATCGAAAAGAGCGCGCGAAACCCGTTTCTGGACATCGGGAACGAGTTCCTCGAAGAGATGTTCCCGTCAGTGATGAAACCTTCTTAGAAAGAACGTTATTAATCGGTTTATAAACGACGCCATGGAATAAAGGGAAAAAATCCGTTGGAAATGAGTGAAAGTATAGCGGTAAATTTGATATCTTTCGGAGCATGAATACGCCGAATTCCGGCATTCCTCGAACACATTTCGAAATTTCATAAACAACACCGACACGCGCGAGCACGTGTCCGTGCGTTGATCGAACGTCGGCGTTTCGACTCAGTTTCCCAACAATCTTTCGGTTGGACGGATCCGCAACGCGCGTCGAACGTTGCCCAATCCGCGCGCAAGCTTCGCTTTTAAACGAGGAAAAGCGCGCGCGAGCTACGAAAGTACACGAATATCAAGTTATTCCATTATTTGTGTGTCAGCGGGTCATGGTAGCGAGCATTGTCCCGCACCATTCCGCCCGTGAGACCTGCATGTGTGCAACCGTGCGTGGAAAATGTTTGATGATCGCTGCAACGAATGCTGGCGGAGAAAATTTATTGCGTTCATTTTAGTAGAAATTATGGATTCATTATATTAGATAATAAAAAGAAGAGTGCATACTCCGTTAGAAAGTTATAAACTCTTGCCCTTTCAGCTATTTCGTATATACTCGTTCCCTCCCCTACAAAAAGAACAATATGAAATGTCATTAATAACGTCGCCTTATTAATTTATTGATTCCATTATAATAGACGTGTAATCAGTTCGTAATTAATAATCGATGACGCGTAATTGACGTCTGACAAGTATATTTGCTTTCAATAGCTGTGCTAACCATTAATCGTGATTAGTCGATAGACACAGACAAAATTCTTGTTCACAAAGAAATATTCGAATGAAATTCTGCCCATCTCTGTCAACTGGTAATAACAATCATCAAACATAGGTTCGATTACACGGTAATCATAATTGTCACTCATTAATCAGATTACATTTTGCTCGATACTGACTCGGGCATATACACGCCATCCGACTGGTATGCGATCGAGGCATCGTTGATCGATCGTCGACGCTTGTACTTTAAACTTCGAAACTGAATTTACGATTTTTACTAGGAACGTGGAATACTTGGGGATTAATATATGGACACTTACGTCCACTGTCAACGAGGAATGAACGTCGCAAACATGTTCATTAAACGTTCCTACGATTGATTCATTTGGCGGAGAAATGTTAATATAACGATGGACTCAGCGTGTGTATCGTATCGCGATTCGTCGAGCTGGTCTTTGGAATGTCGGGAAGCGACTGATTTGATCCTACGCTGAACATTTTTCATTCATGAATTTTAATAAACGATGGCACGAATTATTCGATGGTCCTCTTCTCAAAAATTATTTCTGTCGAGTAAACTCTTTTCGCTTCTAATAATGGCCAATCGTTTCTCATGGTAGGAAACATTCAGTTTATAAAAACAGGTGACAGTGAACAGTGAACTCATCGTGCAATTAGAAAAACTCGTTTTCGTTCTCGAAGATGGTTCGCATACGATTGACCTGTCGATCGTTCCCGCTCGTTCCAATCGACGTTCGCAAATCCTGAGGATTCTTCGGTTGAACGATTGATTTATGAAGTAATACATAATGATGTACAAGGATGAGCGCAATTAAGCAGACGACCCGATGGCGCTGCATACTTAATCGCTAACGATAATGTTTCGAGCGTTACGTCATTATCGAGCTGCGATTCGCGCGAATTTGTGCATCGAGTCGCGGGAGTCTCGTCATCGAAGTGGATATCGACGTAATTCTTTTTTCGATTCAAACAATTTTTATACAGGGTGGCCCACGTAACTCTTAACAGCTCAATATCTCGAAAACTATACCATCGATTATAAAGTTCTCAAAGACGAAGTCAAAGAAGACGTCGACGCGAAAGATTGACGTAGATGCAAACAGCTATTGACATACGCGGACGAACGCGCTCCTCGTCCTCGGAGTGAATGGGCGAGCTGGATGGCTAGAGACTGGACAGATGTCAAGTATTTATGCAAGATCGTTGTAACATAATATCCACTATAGCGGCAATTTCGCCTGGCACAGAAGCGTTTCCTTTTTAGTCCTTTCTCTCGGTTCGCTCCGCGGTTTCCACGCGAAATCGGCCACGCTGTGACGCGAGCGTAACTCCGAATAAATACGATGTCGTTTGCCCCTGCGGTGACGGCCGATTGGGGCGAAAATTGGGAACGTAACGCGTTCGAATCTACAATTAACGCGATAATTTCGCTGAAGTTTAAACTGTCCCGTGCGAAACGCGTCAACTTACGTAACGTTGAAACGTTCAAAGGAAAACTGAGAATTGGCTGTACTTTAACTGCGATTCTTGTTATTTTTATTTTATGAGATGAGAACTGGAGTAATTTGTGATCCTTCGTATTTAACCTTGTAATATTACAATTTTTTTAAATTGAGCTGCTTAAATTAACAATACATAGCAATATTTTGAGAACCCTCTCCAATTCTATACTAATTATTTTGATCGCGTACACGTCCTTTGATAAGAATGCAGCGATACAGATTTTCCCAGATAAAATTATTCGTGGACCGCGATTTAACGACAACTTCTATCTGTAAAACGAACTGTAATTTTCAAGAGTGCTCAGCGTTATACCAGTTCGAGACGGTCTGGGCCGCGTAGGAAGTGACTGTTGCGCTATAACTGCTTTCGTATCACCGCGGAATGTTAAATATTGTTGAAACGTGAGTCACCGTTGTGTTGCTCCGCTAACTAGCCAACAATGCTCTCCACCTTCGCCGGGGTCGATTATTTATCACCGTTAGGCTTAGACTAGACAGTGTTTCGCGAAATGATCTGGATCGCGATCTCTATTCCTAGTTCCCGCCTTAGCGAGGCCGACGATAAACTTTCGTTAATTTACGTGCTTGAAATCCGACGAATTAACGACTAACTATGCTTACAGTGAACCCCAAAATTATTTATGGTCCTCGTTCATTGCGAGTGTAAATGATTGTAAGGTAAATGTTTGAAAAATTTGATGTCCGAAGTTTAAATCATCGTCACTTTGAATGATGAAAAAAAATTCTTTTTTGCCTAGATTATAACATGAGATGCTTGAGTAATCAACAGAGTACAAATAGTATCTTTTGTTTTCTTTATAAAAATTGAGCACATATTGTTTTATATTCTAAAATTGAAATAAGGTAGACCGTAGAACCAATGCGCCGATTTCATATCTGAACTTTTCAATTTATCTCCAAAGCTAGCGTTATTTCATCGCGACTCTGACGCGTTGTGTTTAAAATAATAATTACAGCGCCACCGATAGCTATAAATTTTAAATATCGCAGTAAAAGTGAAACGCGATGCTTTCATTAAACTGTCAACGGCCATGCCAACGAGGTAATTAAAAAATTTCGAGAATCGAGCGTGTCTAGAATTGATACCTGTTCCGTGTTTACATTTATTACGTTATCTTGAGTGCACGATAAGTCATTCGCCTATGTACTTGCATAGGTAAGAGTACGAATACTTTTAGAACTCACGGTATGTAGCGAGAGCTAAAAATGTAGATGCGTTATGAAATAATTAGCCTCGGACTAAGTATCGTCTTCGGGTATAAATGCAATCAGGAAAAAACGTGTCTGCGAACAATTTTGCGAGTAATTTCGCAACGTCGATCCGCTAATGCCTTAATTACACACTGCGAGAGGTAAGTACTCATAGTTTCAATCCACGGCACACAAGCTGAATTTACAGTGACCGACTAAATTGTTAGTTACACATCGTCTAAAGTTCGTACACTTTAAAATTGACAAATCAACGAAATTAATGAAACGACCTAATAATTATATTAAAAAAAAAAAAAACAAGAATCCTATACACCCAGCTGTTCACGTTGACTTGGCCAGACTCATGTTACTACCCCAGTATCACTTTATTTGCGATACTAATACTCGTTGCCTAATAAGCTAGAATATCTAAAGCAGGTAGTTCGATATTTTTCCCAGTCGCGAGCATTTTTAACAGAAACAGTGCTGCGCGAATACTTTCAACCGACACTGTCTCTCGAGAATCGGCACGTCGCGAACATGTGACGCCCGATAGCGATCACCTTAAAGTATCCACGGTGTGTTAACTTCAGTGGGATACCATATATCCATTCCAGGCGTTTTTACAACTGCGATATTGGTTTGTCCTGGCGTTCGCTCTATACAGTGTCGGATTTACGAGGAAAGCTGAGACAATAAAAGGGAGCACAGCTGCAACGTAGCTGCCCCGGTAAGAGGGAAACAGGGAGCTTTATCCAACTTATATGGCGTAAAGTAACGGTC